ACCCCCTAACCCGAACCCTAGCCTCCTACCCTAAACCCAGGGCCTGTGGGGGCCCTAACCCTGACCCCCTAACCCTAACCCCGTAACCCTAACCCCCTAACCCGAACCCTAACCTCCTACCCAAACCCCAGAGCCTGTGGGGGCCCTAGCCCTAACCCTAACTCCCTAACCCCCTAACCCCCTAACCCCCTAACCCGAACCCTAACCTCCTAACCCGAACCCCAGAGCCTGTGGGGGCCCTAACCCGAACCCCCTAACCCGAACCCTAACCTCCTAACCCGAACCCCCTAACCCGAACCCTAACCTCCTACCCAAACCCCAGAGCCTGTGGGGGCCCTAACCCTAACCCCCGAACCCACGTGTTAAACGGGTCTGGACTCGTCACCATGGTAACCCAGAAAATGGAGGTCGTATTTTAACCCAAACCAGAACATTTTTCTGAACCCTCAACAAGTAATTCTGGTTCTGAACTTTAACGACCTTAACGGGATCAGAAAGAGGTGAAAACTTCCTTTGACACTGATGGTCTCTCGTCCATCTCTGGACATGAACTCTGGTGCTTTGGATGAAGGTCCAGGTTCTGGTTTATGCTTCTATCCTCCATCCTAAGTTGAACTTTTGGACTTCTGCCCACGTCACAGCTCACAAGTTGTTTATGTCAAAGAAGATGACATAACCTTCAACTTGCTTTTGAGAAGTCAGCTGAGTTGTCCAGGTTGGAGTTAGCTCGTCTCATGTGTCCATCCAGCTTTCAAGCTAATCCTGCTAACGATCAACACTGTCTCCCATTTAGTGAGTAAGTGTCGTTGCCATGGTGACTCCAAATTAAAAGATGCTCTCTGATCTATGGCAACTCCCCCAACTCAGCCCAAACACTCTTTGAACTGTGTATTGGAGCTTGTAGTGAGACCAGGTGGGTTACAGGTGATGCTCAGGTGAGCCGTCACCTTCAGGTCCACACTGATGACACCTGAGCTCAACGTGGAGTCTGTGTGGGCAGAGCCGGAGGTCCACTTGTTCATTACAATGCATGACAGCATCCTGGAATTAGCGACGACATTGAGCTGTGTGGGTTCAGACGTCACTCAGAATCCCGTTGATTCTTGAACTAGGAGACACGTTGCTTTGTTTCCACTAACCGTTGTTCACTGACATAAAAGGAAACATGAAAGAGAGGAAACTAACTGTCCCATCAGCGTGTGCCAGCGGCTGCATGACAGAAATACGACCAAAAGGTCACTTAGCTTCTCAGGCAGATAAGAATAGGAACCAACAGAGATAAAAGTTACACGTCTCCACATCAAACAGTATCGACGAGGTTTTCCCCACATGCTGTACGAGCTGGCCCTCTGGGGGAGGCTCTGACATGAGTGATGCAACAGAGTCAGGAGTTTGTTAGAAAGTGAAGCACCCTGAACATCTCAGACTTGTTGCTGCCGGTGGACAGAGGAGCTGGTGCTGACTAACCACTGGCAGGAAGGAGGACGTTTGCAGATAACCACAGATCTCAAAACACACGCTGTCCTCACAAGATTATGCTTGGAGACAGTTACAGAATTTGGCAAACAGCAGTGACGAGTGACGGTCATCAGGAGTCCTGCTCTGATATCATTTCCTGTCACATGGTCTTTATCACAGCATGAATGCAGGTTAAAACGCTTTCCTCCGACGATATTAATAGCGTTGAGAACAAAGGTGTTGCATTCATTTCAGCTCTGATGTAAGGTTGTGACAGGGCAGGTGCAGGTGTGTTTTAGTCAACTTCAAGTTGATCCAATCAGTTAAAGTTATGTCCTGATATGTGCAGCTAGAAAAAGATTGTTTTCTCACCACTATGCAGAGCTCATTTTGCATTTTCTAGTTTTCCTGTGCACACTTTATGAGAAGGAACCACACTGTTGACATCACTGATGTCTCTGAATGATCTCCATGCACCTCAAAATAAATAACCACCAACTCTGAACCAAGTATAGTTGATGGACTCTTCAGCTGTCTGAGGAACACAACAAACCAACACGTACTACACTTGATCTGTGAAAAACAAAAACTGACATGCTCCAAATATAAGCCATCTGCTGATCATTGTTCAGGTCCAACAGCTCTGACCGATAGGCGTGAAGGTGTTCTATGGCTTCAGGCATCAAGACATCAGCAGCAGAACCTTGAATCCCAGAAAATGACAGGTTGGACCTTCATGGATTCGATCTTTTATTCCAGAACATCCAACAGATGCTCGATGGAACTGAGATCTGAGGAACGAGGAGGCCGAGTCAACACCCTGACCTCGTGGTCATGTTCCTCAAACCATTCCTGAACAATGTGTGCGTATGACAAGGAGCTTCATCCTGCTGGAAGACTCCACCAGAGAACCCTGCTGCCATGAAGTCTGAGCAGATCAGTGCTCAGGTGTCAAAAATCCACATGAAAGCAGGACCAAAGGTTTCCAGCAGAACATTATCATACTGTCTTCATCAGCTCACGATACATCCTGCTGCCATGTGCTCAGGTGAGCGATGCACTCGTACCTGGCACCTTCTTCAGCTGCTCCATGGTTAGATGTTCTTTCTACCTGAGTGCTCTTCAAAGTGCTTCACAGTGTGGTTCATTCAAGCATTCACACACCAGCAGAGCAGAGCTGCCATCAGGAGCAACTTCAGGTTCAGAGTCTTGCCCAAAGACACCAAGACATGTGGAGAGGTCGAAGCGCCGCCGCTGCACCACCTGAGCCACAGGTGCTCAGTGTGAGCGCTGGTATTGGTCCGCATGCAGCAGACTGTGATGTTCTGTGTTCTGGCATCTTCTCATAGTCAGCATTCAGGTTGTCATCAGTTTGAGCTGCAGCAGCTCTTCTGTGGCATCAGGCCAGAGCAGCCTTCACTCTCCAGGGAGGTCACCTGCCGTCCTGCTCTGGACTCTTCAGGTGATCACTGCCACCAGGAGCACCGCACCTGTTCCAGTCGTCTATACGGTTTGTGAAAGTCTCTCAGATCCTCATCAGGAGAACCTGAAGAACCCACAGGTGACCTGAAGAACC